TCTAGCTGGCCTGGGTTTGAATCTAAGTTTTTCTACTCATCAGCTGTGTAGTCTTCAATTAATTATGGTACCTTTTTGAGCTTGCTTATTTGTCTATAAAATAATTAAAGAGACTTGCCTTGATGCATATATTAGTGAGAAGAGAGGCTATGCTAGTATATGTATGTATGTGTGTGTATATATTTTTTAAAGACAACCCAGTAGGTTAGATATGAGAAAAATGATAGAAATTTGTTCATCTCCCACATACAATCCAGAGGTAAGCAGACTGGGGCTGGTAGGAGACCTCTAACACCAACCTCAACAGAAACAGATTTCAGGGTCCCAGGTGACCGCTCCAATTTTCATGTTCTCCCTCCAAAAGGAGTGGAGAAAGGGTGAGAGGAACACATTCCCTTGAACTTTTAGGGGCACCATCCTGAAGTGACACATGTAAATTCTGGTCATATCCCTCCCACCAGAGCTTAGATATGTGGTTCTATCCAAGAGGGAGGTTGGTTGAGAAGTAATGTCTCTAGCTAAATTTTGTTTCACTGGCAATTTCTGCCTCAAAGGGTTATTATAAACATTAGGAATAATCCATTAATTCATTCATCAAACATTAATTGTGGAATATTGGAACAAAGGGCTAAGCAGGGTGCCTTGCACATGGTAAATACCAGGAAGATGGTGTCACCTTCTTTCAAATGTGGTCCAAGACCCATTAGCATCTGCACTGCCTGGAAGCTTGTTAAAAATGTAGAATCTTAGCCCCAGGCCAGACCTACTGAATCAGAACCTGCATTAACAGTTTGAAAAGCTCCATGCCAGCATGTTGTCTCTTAGGATATCCTGCTGGCTGTGTTGCTCTGACACTTGCAGTGTTGTTGTGAGAATTAAATAAGGTAATATATATAAAGTACTTTGGAATCTGTGAGGTGTTTCATAACATTATTTAAGTGTATGTGTGTGACATGGAAGAATGTGAATCTCAAGGTATTGGAATGACAAGATGGGAAAATCCTTGGGTTTTTAGACTCTCCAGGCTTGACAACATGAGTTGATATTGTGAGGCCATGTGAAAAAGGCTTATCTGTTTCTGGAAAATGTGCTTAAATTGCCATGCACTGTTCTAAGCACAGAACTTATTATTTAGGAAGATGCTAGGCCTACCATTCTAAACCTAGGGTTTTCAGTGTGTTATTTTTAAATTACCAGTGTTCCTAACATCTGAATATTTCAGCTTTTTATGTTTTGAATTATGTTGTTATCCTTTAATTCGTGTGATGGAATATACAAATTTTGATATCAAATTAATGTTTAAATGATTCTGAAAAAGACACCTAGAAATGTAGAAAATGGAAAAATTGATAAAAGAAAATGAATTTTAAAGAAAAGATAGCTTCATGGTATCAATTCACATAGAAGGAATAACACCTAATATATTAAATTATAAGCAGCTAATTCAGATTCATACACTAGTGTTGAACTATAAAAAATTGGGAAAATCGCCTGCTCATGGACTTTAGTTTTCTAATCTGTAATTGAGAAAGATGACATTTGTGTTTGTTTTACCAGCCCCATAGGGTTGGGGAGGCCCATAAAATCTGAGATCCTAGAAAAATGTGGTATGCATACAGAAGGCGATACTTGTATCTAGTGTTGTCAAAGGGAGAGGTATAGGTGAACATGCATCAATGTGAAAGAACTTATTATTAAAATGCTTGGGGGACGCCTGGGGGAGGTGGCTCAGTCTGGTAAACGTCCAGCTTCAGCTCAGGTTATGATCTCATGGTTCATGAGTTCGAGCCCCACGTAGGGCTTTGTGCTGACAGCTCAGAGCCTGGAGCCTGCTTTGGATTCTGTGTCTCCCTCTCTCTCTGCCCCTCCCAGTTTGCACTCTGTCTCTCTCTCTCTCTCTCAAAAATAAATAAGCATTAACAAAATAAAAAAAAATAAAACAGTTAAAATGCTTGGAAAATAAGCTTGCAGGCTGAGTTAGGGCCCTGGTAGTTTCATCGGATTCATGGTATGCAGGCCCATGGCTCCTGTTTCACCTGGGTGAAGGCCCACTGAGAGACAAAGACTCATCCAGTATATCTGCAGGTCAGTCAAGTTTTGGCACATAATGGAAACAGGTCTAGTTGGTATACATCCGATGCACACAGGGAGAAGTCTGCATGTTAGGAAAAAACCAGACAAGTCAAGAAACTCACAGATGAGGGAAAGCTCTAAAAAATGGCTGTTTCTAGGACCCTTTGTTCTCCTGCCTGTGACTGGAAGGAGTGGCCACAGTGGAAGCACGCGCATGCCCTGTTGCCTTGGGACTGATACATTCAGAAAAATGCTACAAGATTTGTCATAGGCCTTGTGTTTAATTCTGTATTCCTTTCATTAGCATTTAGTAAATGAACGTTGCACTGTCAGCTTTGGGTCCAGGTGCTGGGGGGATAAACATACCTTTCCCTCAGGGACTTTCAACTCATTATTGCGATACTATACAGCTTTATCAGAAAAAGGATAATAACCAACATTTGTACTATACTTTAAAATAGATCTTGCTATGTTATGCCCATTTAAAAATTATGTGTGTACGTGTGTTTATTAAAAATAAATCTATATTTATGTAGAAATACAGAAATATAGAAAAAAGACCAAAAGTGGGATGTACATGAAATGATAATAGTGATGAAAATACACATTATTTTTCATTGCTTTCTGTATTTTCTGTATCTTCCTCGATGGACATGTATTATATAAATAATACCATAATAACCATAAATAATAACCATATGACAACCACATATGAAACTTCTGAAGCTTCTAAAATATTTTTATACATGCTGTCTCATTTGATCTTCACAAGCACTCTGTGAGGTAGGTCAGTAATAAACATCAAGGTTATAGATGAGAGAAAATGGAGGAGACGGACAGGCATACAACTCAGACACCAGGATGTTACATGCAGTGAAGTTACATGATGTATACAGCACTGAACAGGTAGTCAATGGCAAGAGCAGATGAAAGGAAGGCAAATTAGTAGTGTTTTAATGAAAGGAGAATGGTTTGGTGCATAGAATGGCTTTTCACTTCAGTCTGGCTCCCTAAATAAAGGCCTGGTTCCGGTTTTTTATTAGACTCAGAGGCAGGGTGCACAGTAGTCACATTTGGGTCTAAGACCAGAGAGTCTGAGTTTGATTTCCATCTCTGGGACTGCCTAGCTATTTAATCTGGGCAGTTATTTACAGACTCAGGGCCTCACCGTACCTATGTATAAAATGAAACAAATACTACTAGCTACTGTAAGAACAAAATTAGTTCATATGTGAGAACCTTGAAAAGTGTATGGGATGGGGACCCCTGGGTGGTTCAGTCAGTGAAGCATCCAACTCGATTTTAGCTCAGGTTATGATCTCGTGGTTCATGGGATTAAGGCCTGTGTTGGGTTCTGTGCTGACAGTGCAAGCCTGCTTAGGATTCTCTCTCTTCCTCTCTCTGCCCCTCTCCCACTCATGCTCCCTCTCTCTCTCAAAATTAACGTTAAAAAATATATTGAAAATAAATAAATAAAAAGCTCTTTGAAACAAGTATAATGGGACAGTCTCGAGCTAAATAACTTTTTAATTTGTTAAATAAATAACAGACCACAGAGGAAAAACCCTAAAAAAATAAATGTGTGGATGTAGGGATGACTGAACAAGTATTAGCTGCTGTCTTCATCATCATCATCATCATCTTCATTCATGCAGAGCTGATGCGGATGATGATAGGGTGACAGTATCTATGGCTTTCAGGGAGACAAGTACATCATCCTACTGTAGACAGCAGCAACTTTTAATCTTATAGGATCTGGGACGAGGTAAGGAAAGAGGGCAGGTCAGTACAAATATATCTCACATTAATCTTTCAATGACAGTGTTATCATTTTGAGATGCATAAACATGGATTGAGTTAAGGATAGATTGTGTTTCTTAAGAAACATACAGATGTATATTAAATGTATGTAGATGTATGCCGCAAAATGCTGATAGCTTGGGTTAAGAATGCAGAAGAATTATAAAGTTAATACAAAAAATATGAGAAAGTTTGTGCTGGTATTATCGGATTGTTCTGCAGCCTGTGTAAATCTATACCAGTCTCTCCCTGCTTACTATAAATGTTTGGAATATGTGTACACTTAGATGTTCTCTTTGATTTTACAGTGTTGTAAACCAAGTGATTGCTGTCAAATTAAGAATGATTGTTTTGTCTTTAAAAGACCTTGACCATGAACTGGGAGGTGGAGTGTTGTGAGGATTAATTCCCTCAGGCCTGGAATTAGTCTGAGCTGTTCTGCTGAAATAAGTATCCCTGCCGGTTACTTAACCACTGGTCATCAAAGCATGAAACGATTGATTGATAATGTTTCTTTGTAACATTGGTTGGAGGAGTTTCAGGGTAGTTTGCACCAACTGTCAGCATTGTTTATTGATAAGAGTGAGATTGATGATTTGCATCTGGTCTGGGTGAGACTTCTAAAGGGCTCTGCTGTGGAGGCTGGTTGCATAGTAGGAAGGTGGCTATGTAACCAAAATACAAAAAGCACCAGTGGGGATTCCATCCCAGAAATACTACCAGTTGAGTTTAGAAGATTACCCAGAGAGACTGTTTAATGGAATATTAACTGCTTTAATATCCTAATCCTAGGGGTACTTAGGTGGCTCAGTCAGTTTAACATCTGACTCCTGATTTTGGCTCAGGTCATGATCTCACGGTTACTATTCCCTCTCCTTCTCTCTCTGCCCTTTCCCCACTTGCACACGCTCTCCCTCTCTCTCTCTCCCTCTCTCTCTTTCTCAAAATAAATAAATAAACATTAAAAAATTTTTAAAAAGAACTTAATTCATTTATTTTTTTTTAAAGTCCTAATTCTAGTTAAGTCCTTCAGTTCTCATACAGGTCGATTATTGAAATCCCAAAATACTGGGGGCAATCTTGCTTCATTTCCAAAACATGTGAAATGTGTTTGTCATTTTTTTCAGAGCCCCTGGTTGTGGAATACAAGGCACTGTTGGTACAACTACCCCTATCAGGTAAGGAGACATTGCCGACTGGGTCTTCACACACACAGAGTATCTCCCTTATGTCAGGTTCATGGTTTTAGGCCCCAGCAGGCTGGGCAGCCACTTTACTTTTTAGCCCCTTGCCCTTGCTCCTGCTGCTTGATGCCAGACTTAGCCTAGTTAAGGGAAGCAGTTTGTTTTCTCAGTGAAGTTCAGAATCAGAGCTCAGTTGCTTTAGCAAATGGAATAAGCTGGAAGGTGCATTTGCTGGAGAGTGAGATACAATCGATTCAATAGTTGGGCGATTCTTGCTTCTAACAGCTGATCTTCTAATTACTGTGGAGGGCCTGAAGACCTGACACCAGCAAGGGTCCGTGTGGACAGCAAGTGGGCAAAGTGTGGGGCTGCAGCAGACAAGCAGAGTTCAGGCCACTTTGCGGCTTAAGAGCAGCCTCTAAATATGTAAATCAAACACCATTTCCTTGAGCATAGAAAAATTGGCTTGTATCATTACACTAAACTTAAAACCATCGCCAAAACTGAGATTAAAATTATACCCCAGAAAGGGAGCATTTCAGATCTCTGCTCCCTACATACCTTTGCCTCTGTCCATGAATTCAATAAGATTAGCATGTGTTGTGGTCCTCAGATCAGTTACTATTTGAATATCATAGAGCTGGGTCTTTTCTAGTTTAATTGGAATATGTTATATAAGAGAATCAAATACAACTAGATATTTTGATGATAAAGTGACATACATTCGGATAAGCAACTTGTATTTTTGACTTTGGTTCTTTGGGCTGTCTTCTTAGAGGCATTTGGTCTTTTTGGTGTGCATAAAGTTAATGGGAAGCAAGCATGCTCTGTAACCGTCCCTGTTACACGCAGTGTTGCAACAGGAGCTAGGGACCAGTGTTGGAAACTTCTTGGGCTAGTTCATGCTAGGGATACATTGAAATGGAATTTGAGTTTGCATTTCCATCTCTTTTATGGGGTACATCCATATTAGAAAAGCATGTAAGCAAGCAATATGACATGGTTAGAGAAAGCTGAGCATTCTAGGGCTTTCTGATGGAGACTGAAGTCAGCATCAAAACTTACTGTCCACAGTTGTAATTCTCAGGCTCCACTGCTATTTTACTACCTTAAATACTTGGGATATTGTCATTACACCTCTGGTTGTGTCCTGTATTGGTATACTGAGTGGAAAAATCCATATACATCTAGAATTCTATTTATAAAAGTATTCAAAGCCTTCTAGAAACCTTAACTTGAATGTTCATGTGGCAGCTGCTCTAATGCACTACATTTATGAGGAAAATTCTGTGATGTGAACAACATTAGGACAAATGTCACATGAAATGTAATTCCCACTCCTCTTTATAACTATAACATAGTCTGAAATAGCTTTCACATTTATGGCTGGAGCTAAGGAATTGCTTTTTTCTGAGATAATTAGTTGTTGGGGCAGTGGGCCAAAATGTAATTGCAGGGTGTTTCACAGACAAAACGATAGATTTAACATGAAAATTTGAGGGTCTGGTAGATAGATATGTTTAAAAATAAGAAACATTGAAGTGTCTGCCTGACTCAGTACGTGGAGCATGTGACTCTTAACCTTGGGGTTATAAATTTGATTCCCACATTGGGTATAGAGATAACTTTAAAATAAAATAAGTCTTTAAAAAACAATAAAATAAGAAGTAAAAATAAGAAACATCATCAGTATAGAAGGAAAGATACTGTGTATTTGGAGTTTCAGATCAATATTGTCTTCTGCTAGTAAGACATCATTGCTTATCAATGAATAATTTGGTAATAGCCCCCAAAATCTAGGAACAGTTCATGATTTCTTGAAGGAATAATGGTCATCTTTGATAAACTCCATATTCTCATAAAAAATCAGCTACTTTTCTTTTTATATGTGTGGGGAAAAAAATTAAACAGCATGTAATTATTATGCATGTAATTAAAGTGCATTGTGGGTAGCTGTGCTGAATAATTACAGAGATTACAGTTCAAAGTCAGTCTCAAGCCGTAAGAGCACTTTTTTAAAGATAGTGCTCATGAAGCATATTTATTATGTTTTTAGCATGTATATTAAGTAAATAATTGAACAAATGTTTATATGAAAGAGTAGTGGTCTGCTGCAATTTTATTAAAGGCACACTGTTCCTTGTGTATGAATATATATGTAATTTATTTCATATATGATGGTTCTTATATGATGCATATATTTTAAGTCCAAAATAATGGAAAGTGATCTTTAGTTGGGACTAGATAGTTTGTCGTAAAGAGCACAAGTTGGGAATGAGAAGCCCTAGAATAGCAGTCACAGGGACTCACTAGCTATAAGACCTGTGATTAGCCTTTCAACCTGAACTAACTTGACAGCAATTTCCTGTCAGCTATACTATCTAGAAAATGATGGTACTAATTTTATAGGGTTTTTATGAGAGTCAGAGAAATTAACATGTGGGTAGTTTTGTCAACTGCAGAGCACTCCATGAATATGGTAGTTTTGTAATATGATGCTCTCTTAGGAACTCTGTGGTTTCTAGATGTACTCTCACCTGTCTTCCTAGCCCGCCGTGGTTTTTCCCAGGTGGTGGTGCAGGGAAGCTCATTAAAACTGAAATTTAACCTTGGCTCCCAGGATCCTGAAGCCAGTGCCCTATTTTCTAGACTTCATTGCTGCCATATGTCTGACCTGAATACCCATCCCTTATTGCTAATGCCTGCAAATTTTAAAAGGACAATTCAGTGGAAAATATATTCTCTCCAGTATGGTGCTGAGTTTGATAAACACACTGATGGTCATTGTTACTCAGAGCTTGGGATTGCTGGTGGGATAATATCCTGTCCCCTCATGTGTTTTGTTGCCAGAGATCAGTGGGAGGGACAACTGTTTTCTTTGATGCCAGTGCATAAAGCTGGTAGGGTTGGTAGTTAAGAGGGTGCCAGCTTCTCATGAAAGTACTTTGTTACGCTGCTATTGGTTCCCAGAGCATTAAAGTTTGAATTGTAGTTACCATATATACTATTACATTGTGGGCAGCACGGATAGAATGCATTTCAAAGGTCTCTCATTCATTCTGGTAAAGTAAGACATTTCATTATAGCTTAGTAAACAAAATAAATGTTCTTGACTTCTACTGGCTCTCTGAGCCTCTCCCCATTCTTGGACCTCTGAAGCAGATAGAACAGGTATCACCCCCCATTTTACAATAGGTATACTAAGGCCCACTGAGCTATGGAGCTGAGACTTGATCTCAGATTTCCTGGCTGAGGGCCTAGCCTGGTATTTCTTGGCAGCTTCCTTGTCCCTCTGCCTTTTAATAAATATTTTTGAATTATCTTTTCTGATATTTGCAATGTACAGAACATTCCTTAATAACAAGAAAGATCTGATTAATACAGAACTCGAAACTCTGCCTTCATGACCCATCTATCACCCCATCTAGCACCCATTCTATCACCTACCTCCCTTGCCCCTATACTATGGAATCTCATGGTAATTTCCAGGGTTATTCTTTTTCTGTATGTATTAAAAGGCTTTTTTTTTTCAGGTTGCCTAAGAAATCTTACAGATCCTTCTATCAAGGAACCATAAATGCTGTTGTTAAAGTAAATAGTGAATTGGGTACCAAATGTTCATACTCATTGACACTTTTTTGGTTGGAGATGAAACAAACTTAATGCCATTAAGCTGTGTATTAGAGACATGCTTCAAAGCCCTCTTACCCATAGAGAGAACGGGGCTGGAATCTGTGGAGGCATAAGACCATGTCACTTTTCAGCACTGAACTTGAGATGTTTGGGACACAATTTGGTTTACTATTAACTATTAATCTTTCTTTTTTTTTTTCTTTAATCCCCAGCCACTCACAACTGACCTTCACTACTATTATATCCTGGAGCTGTCGTATTATTGGTCTTTAATGTTTTCCCAGTTCACTGATATCAAAAGAAAGGTAAGAGTGGTAATGTTGTAAACTGCTTGCAGATATGTGTCCTTAATGGCCCTTGGCAGATGGGAGTAGTGTCTCAAAGGCACTCATGTCTATTCTCTGGCAGCACCAGCCCTGCATTATTCCAGAAAGTTTCTTATTTTCATTTCTGGTGTTTTGTATTTTATTTGCATTGTCTCTTCCCTGTTTCCTCCAAATCTAGTGTTCTTTTCTCTGTGAAAAAATATATCAATGAATCCTGACAGCAGTAATTTTTTTTCTCAGTCTGAGTCACAAGGCCCTCTATTCTTCAAATTAAATAAAGAAGAAAAATTGTATTTGTAGCCCCCGGGAGAGAGTAAATTCTCAGTGCTCCAGCCACACGAATGAATTTTTCCTGAATTAAAGTTATCTAACATCAGAACACACCATGAAAATACAACATTCCTAAATGAACTATGATTAGCCTCCACCTCTCCCTTCCCCTGGAGTAGCTTTTGCTGAGGGTGCATGCTCTTGACCTTTTAAGTGTTAAACCTACCCATTCCAGCTCTCATCCTACCAGCTTCTGGAAAGAATAGGCACTTCTGGCTGTTTACCGCTTATAATTTTTCCATCATACCATTTTCTCCAGATTCCCATATTTGGATCATGCCTTCAAAATCGTCTTTGCTGGCGTCCAGCCCAGGGCCTCACGTGCCACATATTTGCATGCGCCAGGGTCTAGTCCTGGATTATAGGGCATCATTTCCTGGTATGATCAAGCTTATAACCTTCAGCACTACTAGCCATAACTTATGTACCAGTAACTCCAAGATGTCTCTCTTCAGCCCTGGGTTCTCTCCAGGTCCATACTTCACAAATCTAGGCATAAATTATAGTATTATGTCCTTTTTGTTTATTATTTAATCTTCCCATCAACTCCCAGATTTAGTTGGATCATTTATTAGTTACCTTATTTTATAAATGAGGAAACTGAACTTTACGTGCAACGTATTTCCAGCTGAAGACATGATCATCCCCTAGCCTTGTTCGTCCAGTAATGCTTATAACCGACAGTTCTGTAAGCTAATGGTTTTCCTTGGCTCTCCTCTTTGTTTTGCCGCATACCTGAACCCTTAACGTCACTGACACATTTAGTTTGAGTTGTCTCTACTTTTGCTTAATCTATTGCAGTAGCCTTTTAAATGGTCCTCCTATCTAAGTAGTCATTCTTGTCTACCTGCCACCTAAGAGTTGTGTTTCTAAAACCTTTCAAGACAAAGCCAGACTACTTGGAGCAATACGCAGGTTATCAACATGATTCAAACCCACCTCTCCAGTGTTACTACCCGTCCCTCTTCCCCCCCTTCTGAAACACACATATGTCCTATCTATGAATGTCTTTTCATCATTGTTCAGACATAATTTTTTTCATGCACCTTTTTTTTTTTTAAAGAAGACCTTGCCTTGGCTAGTATATACCCTATTTCCCTCCTCCCAAACCTGACCTAGTCCAAAAATAATATCTTCTTTGAAGGCTAATTCAATTACCCCAAGGTTTTTTATCACTCCATCCTCTGTGTTTAGTTGCCCAATGTGTACATAGTTAATTTTTTTAACTGTGTAGGGGCCTACCTTCCCTAGACTTGGAGAATAGAAGAGCAAGATATGTTCATCTTTATATCATGGCTATCAATGCACCTGCTTATGATGGGGATCAGTAAGTGTAGGGTGAATGAATAAATGGACTCATCAGAATGTCTTCTGATTTACCAATGGATATCTTCCAAACTCTTTTGCAAACAGAACTATGCATTGTCAAGGAGCACAATACTTGTAATACTGTAAATTCCTTGGTTCGATCAGTCATCTGCTAAATTGCAGAGTGGTATCCAAGTGGCTACAGAAGAACATTGAAGAGTCTTTGGCTCTAGTACTTGCATCCCCTTTCCCCAGGTGCATGCCTTCCACTTTCCTACAGCAGAGGCTTTCTTGGCTGGCAAAAAGCTGTCTTTCCTTTCCTGTGTAGGTACACAGCCTTAATGTGATGTGAGTTCTTTGAATCTCACAAGAGGTGGATGGTCCCTGTAAGGACTAGGGCTTGGGAAAGCAGAGAACTCATTGGCAACAAAAATTTGTGGTTCCTTACTCATGGCATCACTCTGGTCAGTTTCTGGAAATGTTTAAAGATCCTTCAGTGATGGTATGCCAGTTAGATTAAATTTTGTCTGTCTTACATGAGGGGTCTTCTTCATTCAGGTATATAGTACTTGAAGACTGATTGTCTATGTGCTAGGCATTATGCTAGGCTTATTGTGCATTTTACTTATTTATTTTTTAAACCTTTAATTGTGATAAAAATCAAAACATAAAAGTGTACCATCTTAACCATTTTAAGTGTACAATTCAGCAGTATTATACACATCTACATTGTTGTGCAACCAGTTTCCAGAACTCTTTTTGTCTTGCATAACTGAAACTCTGTACCCATGAGATAGTAATTCCTCATTGTCCCCTCCCCCCAGCTCCTGGCAACCACCATTCTACTCTCACTATGAATTTGACTACTCTAGGTGCTCATAGAAGTGGAATCATACCGTATTTGTCATTTTGTGACTGACTTATTTCACTTAGCATAACGCCCTCAGGATCATCCATGTTGTAGCATGCGTCAGAATTTCCTTTCTTTTTCATGCTGAAAAACATGTGTTTTATTTTCTTTTGAGGAGCATTTTTTTCCAGATTAGTTACAGAAAAAGCTAGTATATAAAGAAAAGAGGTTTGAATATTTTCCCATTTTGTAGCTGGGCAAATTGATATACAGTGAGTTGATGTAAATTTTTCAAGGTTGTGCTATGTGGGAATGAATTAGAGCCCAAGTTTACCCAGCAAAGTTCTGTGATTCACTCTTAGATTAAACACATAGCAATTCTTGTATTATCTTGCCTTGCCATGCTCCTGAATTAGAAGTAGTGAGCCTTTTGCAGCTCTTTGCCATTTTATTGGTTTCTCTTTGCTTAATGAGAATTACGTGTGTCATCTAGAGTCAAAGAGATTAGTAAAATCAAGGCTATAACTGTACTTGGCTCCCAGGAGCCAAGACATTGCTAGCGAGTCATTGTTGTACCAGCGGTCACCAAACTTCTTGCATTTGCCTGAACTTTCTCAACATTCATTTAATGTGTGTTTTCAGTGAGTTAAGAGGACTCATAGAGTCTTCGTTGTTTTAAGTCAAATGACCATTTCTAATATCATAAGTGGTTGATTTTCAGTGGTTGAAGTATATCATTTTGTATGGATTTAGTATACCTTGCATCAGTGTAGAAACCACCTATGTATAAAAAGGGCAATTTTACGATGAGGTTCATGGAATTGATCTCAACCTTACACATATTGCCAACGTTTAGCAGTTAAGTGTACATTTTTTCTTAGTCAACACCAGTAGCTTGTCTTAGACATCTGGCACCTCTCCCTTCTTCAGCTGGCCAGGGTACCTTTGTACGTTCCTGGTGCAGTTGGTTTATTCTTCTTCTTGAACAAAATGGGAATTTAGCCACTGCCAGACCTATGTATTACTCAGCACAGATTTTAATGAGGAAGGCCTCTTTTCTTTCTTTCTTTCTTTCTTTCTCTTTCTTTCTTTCTTTCTTTCCTTCCTTCCTTCCTTCCTTCCTTCCTTCCTTCCTTCCTTCCTTC